GTGCCATGGAGTCAACCCTAAGTTTTGTACTTTTAGAATAAGGCGATACTAAATGCTACCTTCGGCTTAGCTCTGGTTTGAGTGCTTCTGAGCCTTCAGAGGGTGCGCCAGCCATCAGGTGAGCTGCAAATCTCTGCACGACAGGATGGTAATGTCTCTGCAGAGGAAACATGACAACCACATTTAGCACAGGTCAATACTATACAAACACTATCTACGCCAAAGATTATATTCAATAAAGTCACACTCATTTTACTTTTAAAAATCCGTATTTGTAGGGAACCAGCAGTTAGCGTAATGGGTATGTCACTGGATTCCCATGTAGTCGACCGCGGTTCGCATACCAGACCCGGTGGCTTAAAACTCACGCCGGGCGCGTGTGCGTGCGTGCCCAAGATCCCGAGAGGAGAATGGAGGAGAAGGGATTGCGGCGTGAATCACCCCTCTGGGGGGTGATTTCTCGCTTTCTGTCTCTATGTCTCTCTCTCTCTGTCTGGCGAGCGCACGCGCCCTGTAGCAAAAACTTCTCCAAAACAAAAATCTGTATTTGTATATGTCATTCACTTGAACCACAAACCTACAGAATGAATATTATCTTTGCTTGCAAGAATAAAATACTAATGTATTTGATGGCCAAGTAACCAGCGACATGGCTTACTCTTGCTTTTACAATAGGAAAAATATCAAAAAGTAATTTCTCTTTCAGAATGAAAAACGTTACATTTACAAAAGGTTACCTGATGCATTTATTTTCTGTAAGTTTCATTTCTAATACTGTCCACGCTATTAGGCTCACAACATGAATGACACCTAGAAAGGGAGCCTGCCAAAGTCTCCTTGGATGGGCCCAATGCAGACATGCCTGATAACGATCTATTCAAAACAGTGTTAGGAAAGCTTTCAGGAAATCTTCCACACCCTCGCCTCACAAAACTGTCATTATGTTGTTTGTTAGAAAATATACCTCTAGGGACCAGCAGTTAGCGGAATGGCTATGTCACTGGACTCCCACATAGTCGATTGCGGTTCACATCCTGGACCCAGTGGCTTAAACTCACACCGGGCGCGTGTGCATGCGTGCCCAAGATCCCGAGAGGAAAATGGAGGAGAAGGGATTGTGGCGTGGCCATCCCCCTAGGGATTGATTTCTCGCTTTCTGTCTCTCTCTCTGTCTGTCTGGCGAGTGTATGTGCCCTATAGCAAAAACCTCTAAAAAAAAAAAAAAGAAAAAATATACCTCTACAGCTTAAAGAACAGTAAAAATGAAGACTGTAACATATTAAAACAGGAGTTCTGAGGAAAAAAAAAAAGGAAGTCTAAAAGGAATTGGGACAAAGTATATTAAGTCCTCCAGCAATACTCTTTGGGGACAAACTGAGAAAAATTGCCCATGATAAATAAATAGGGTCATTCTCACCCGCAGTGCATGTAATTCCCACAGAGCAGTGTTCTGAGCGTTGCAGTACTCGGGTTCGTCCAGCTCAGGGAGGAAAACCCCACTTCCTTGAGATTCATTGTCAAGCAGTAGATCTGTTTTTGGGAAAGTCTGTGAAAATTCATAGAAACAAAAAAATTAAATAAGTTAATATTGTTAATTTAAAGGATATTATAGGTCTATACTTTTACTTGCATTTTAATTTATGGTTGTATAAAAGCTATAGGCATAAGGTTTGTTTTGTTTTGTTTTGGCCAGAGGGCATGTGTACTTGCCTGCAATGGGGCACAGCCACACTGCAATCCTCTTCCCTCCCTTTCTCTATCCCATCAGGACTGGGGTTCACGTGTACACATACCCAGCATGTTTCTCAAGTTACCAGGGCCGGGAATGAAACGAGTCAGCCACGTGGGGTCTGGCTCCCAATGCACAGTGTTTTACCACTGCACTGTAGGACCCACCAGCATAAGATCTTTTTTTCTTTTTAAAGAGTGATTTTTACTATAGGGCACATATACTTGTCAGAGAGACAGAGACAGAAAGTGAGAAATCACCCCCTCTGGAGGGATGGCCACACCGCAACCCCTTCTCCTCCATTCTCCTCGTGGGATTTTGGCCACACATGCACGTGTCTGGTGTGAGTCTTAAGGAGCCTGGTTCGGTACTCAAACTTGGGTCAACGATGTGGGAGCTCAGTGACATAAACATTATGCCATCTGCTGGTCCCCAGCATATGATCTTTACACTGGTTTTGGTTTTTGTTTTTTGGTGTTTTTTTGACTTACTGATTGCCAGAGGGTACATGTGCTCACCTCAAAGAGACAGAACACACTCCCAATGGGGCATGGTCATGCTGCAACTCCCTTTCCTCCATTTCTCCATCCCAGGATTTTAGACTCTCACACAGGTGCCTGGCGTATTTTTCAAGCCATCAGGACCATGATTTGAACTGCAGTTGGTCATATGGGATCTGGCTTCCTATGCATAGGGCTCAGCTGCCGTGCTACAGAGCTCATCTTATACCTAGTTCTAATAAAAACACCTTAGACCCAGGTGCAATGGCACAAGGGGTAAGGCAAGCTGTGCAAGACTGGGGCTAGACTGGAGGCCTAGGTTCAGTTTCAAGATCAATGTAAACGGGTTGGCACAGGAAGGCATACCACAATGCTAGTTAACTGGGGTATTCTGCAGCCAGGGTAAGAGAGTTGCAACATATCAAAAATATCCATCTCTCTCAATAAACAAACAAACAAACAAAGATAAGAGGATAAAAATGGCAGAAGACTATTTTGCCTTGGCTTGCTTTGAAAAGAACTTATATTATCTTGCAAAACGAAACAATAGTCTTTTCACCCTGTAATCCCACTTTAAGGAATTTAATATGGAACTATTTATATTCAACGTATGTATAAAGATATCACTATAGCATCATCTGCAATAGAAAAAATAATAATAACCAATATCAATCAAGAGAAATAAAAGGAGCATAAAAGTTAGACGGCCTAGATTGAAATCCCACCTGTACCACTTACTAACAATGCCACTTTAGATTAGTTACTGATTTTCTCTGGACATCAGCTATTCTATTCTATAAAGTGGGAGTAGTAAAATTAGCCACTTCATAGGCTTACAAAGAAAAAGAGAGTTATTTTTTTATAGCATTTATAACAACAGCAGGCACATAGTAAGAATTGTGTGTTAAATAAGCCTTCCACAGTCATTACAAAAGTAAGATGACATAAAAATACATTCACTAAAAAAAAAAACAAAAAAAAAACTGTAGGACAATATATGACATAATTCCCTTAATACTCTTCATTGAGAAAAAGGATGTACCCGTGCGTGGTATGTTTATATATGAATATAATAAAAAAAAAGGTCTGGAAGGATACCTACTCTAAATGCTCTAAATGGTAAAAATGGTTACTTCTGGGGAGTGTAAATGGGTATACGATGCTTTCATTTTGTAATTTTATGCACTTCTTTTGTCACCTGATTTTGTTATAAGTATGAATTATTTTCATAATAAAAATAATAATGTAAAAGGGGGAAAAAACATGCACCAAACAAACAAACAAACAAAAAAACACTGCACTATCAAGAATTTAGTTCTGGGACCAGCGGATGGCGTGATGGTTACGTCACCGGACTTCCACACAGCTGACGGTGGTTCGAGTCCCAGACCCATGGGCTTAAAACTCACAGTGAGTGCATGTGCGTGTGTGCACGTGATCCTAAGAGGGGGATGGAAGAGAGGGAATTGTGGGATGGCCAGCTCCCCCGGGGGGGTGATTTCTCACTTTCTGTCTCTCTAGAGAGCACATAACGCCCTATAGCAAAAATCTCTCTAAAAATAAAAAGACTTTAGTTCTGTTCATTTATATCCAAACTTACATGCATTAATATTCTGGTAGTTGCTAAAATGCCAATGCTTGAGTTTGGAAGAACATGAAGAGCGAGGGTACAAAGGCGCTTGATAAAGGCAAGGGCTCGCTGCTGAGAAACTTGCTTTCTGCGCTTGGTTAACATCACGTCGAGGCACTGCAGCACAGTCTCAACACCTTCATTGGTGGCACCTGAAACAGCAGATACAGTTGCCAGTACTATTCCCTTTAGGCTTTCACTGAAGCCCAGAAAACCCCAAGAGGAGCTGTCATTTATGGTTCCAAACCATTTCCCTAACCAATAAAACAGTGCTGTGTTTACTGCATCACCATCAATTCCAAAAGTTCTCTTTCCAGTTCTTACATGAGGTTAAATACAGAAACACGGCACTAGCAAGCCAGTGTTTTATATACCAGTTCCTATTTCTCATTTGTCACCAACTATAATTCTGGTCTTAACAAATTCCTAAAAGATAAATATGGCCCAACTCAGAAGGGCACACGCATGCCCACGATACTGATGAGCTAAGTGGGGGAGAGGGAATCACACTGTGAGAAGACCCTGCCCAGTCTGCCCCAGACTCTCCCCCACCACCTCCCTCCCATGCACACATATGCACTAGTATACATAAAAATTTTTAAATATTAAAAAAAAAAAAAATGGAAACATTTTATGAAAACACTACCTAAACATACATACCTGCATGTAACTTAAACAGTGTTTTATAGAGATGTGTATAGAACTTCATTGGGTCAATATTCAGCACATCACCTTTAAAGTAACAAGCACCAATTAGGTACATTTCAGCCTCCAAAGGTAAAGCAAAAACAACTTGATTAAGGAAGTATCTTACCTTGCCCAGAAAGAATATGAAAAGCAGTCTGGACACAGTGAAGACTTTCTTGATAGCTTAGGTCCTTTTACAAAAAAAAAAAAAAAAAGAGGAAGAGGTATTAGAAAGATAGTCACCAGTTAGAACTTGAAAAGTAATTCATTAGTAGAGTTACTTACACCAGATTCAATGAGAGTATGAAGAACTACTAGTAAGTCATCAAAAAACTCCACATTTATAAGGTGAGCAAACCTAGAATCAGACAAAACTTAGTTAATAGATACTAATAGTAAAAGAAAAACTAAATCAAGTAAAACTGAAGCTTGACTTTAAAATTTTATCTATGGCCAACAGGTGGCAATGGTGGCTAAGGTACTGGACACTCCCACATGGCCAATCACGGTTCAAGTCCTGGACCTGGTGGCTTACTTTCTCACTTTCCCTTTCTCTCTCTGTGTGTCTCTCTCTCTCTGGTCAAATTAAAATAAATGAATGAATTATTTTTTTTTAAATGTTTTATCCTGGAGCCACACGGTGGCACAGAAGTAATGCAATGCCCTGCCATGCTGGGCCTACCTTCCCCAGAGGGAAGGTCTTGGGTTTGTAACCCAAGACCTCCATGTACATGTGGGGCACACAGGCGCGTGCCTAGGGTCCAGGCTGAGGCTGGGGGTGGGAGCATGACTTAAGGACCCTGTTGACTGTTGGGTGCGCCTAGCCCCCTCTCATAGAAGTAACAGAGCTTTTTAAAGTGTGTATATGTGTGTGTGTGTGTATACATATATATACCCCAAAAAAACAACTGTGCCTTTAAAATTCTTTATTTCAAAATGTTAGTTATGGAGATAATAGTGATTATGGATACTGTTCATTGATTTAGATTGGCCTTCTCGACAGCTCTCACACTGCTGAACACAATACTCGGCAGGAAGGTATGAGACAACTGAACAGACTAAAAGTATTTCTTAAAGACTTCTGCCCTGAGAAAGAAGGGCTAAGAGCAATGTCCCCGAGGAATGTTCAGCTTTGAGGGAAACAGGGAATGGAATGGGAGAAAGAAAACACTCTGCTACTGACAAGACTATGGATCTATGGCACCTTTAAAGATAGAACACTGGACTGCAGTCCAGCTCAAGCTCTGCTATTAACTGCCCATATGACTCCAGGTAATTTGACTATTGTGGACCTCTGTTTCCAAAAATAACTGATTCTAACCAACAGGGTTAGAGAAGGAATCAAATTAGCTACTAAATGGCAAAGTAGTCCATACTATAAAATATTAGGTACTGATGCAGCTTCAAGTGTCTCTCAGTATCAGAGAACCTCTGACCCTATGTTTAGTGCTGGAACAACGAAAGACCTCAGAAATAATATATTCGTGTACTGGTCCAACCTTTTTCTTTAGTTGTCGAGCAGTTCATGCACTCACCAGAGAGACAGAGAGACAGCGAGCGAGAGGAAGGAAGTACCACAGCATGGGCTGTGGTCATGCTGCAATCTTTCTCCTCCTTTTCTCGTGTGTTTTTCCAGTCACTGGGGCCAGAATTCAAACCATAAGCAGCCATGTGGGGTCCAGCTATTGACCATTCGGCTTACAGGGATAAGCCTGTAAGCTCATTTGTACTAAAGGTACAAATTTTTGAGGAAGCAATTTGGCAGCATTTATCAAACTACAAAATTAGTACATCCCCTGATCTGGGAATACATGATGAATGCACAAAGATATATATATACAAATATTTTCAGTGCAAGCTGAGAAACTGGCCAGATAAAATAGTACGTATTCATAAGAAGGAGTATTATGAACTTGAAAAAATTAAGTGATTTCTATGTGCTAACATGGAAAAAATGCCCAGGAACCAGGAGTTAGCGTAATGGCTATGTCGCTGGACTCCCACGTAGTCGACCGCGGTTCGCGTCCCGGACCCGGTGGCTTAAAACTCACGCCGAGCGCGTGTGCATGCGTGCCCAAGATCCCGAGAGGAGAATGGAGGAGAAGGGATTGCGGCGTGACCATCCCCCCTGGGGGGTGATTTCTCGCTTTCTATCTCTATGTCTCTCTCTCTCTGTCTGGCAAGCGTACGCGCCCTATAGCAAAAAACCTCTCCAAAAAAAAAAAATAATGCACAGAATAACTTCATCAAAAAAGCAAGTTATAGGCTATTTTTTTAGAGACTGTTTAGAGATAAATTTTTTTGATACAGGATGCATGCACTCACCAGAGAGACAGAAAGCAAGAAATCATCCCCCAGGGAAGATGGCCACAACCACAATCCCTTCTCCTCCAGTCTCCTCTGGAGGAGATTTTGGGTATAACATATGCATAAGTGCCTGGGGTGACTTTCATGCTGTCAGGTCTGGGACTCGAATTGCAGTTGACTATGAGGAAGTACAGAAACATAGCCATTGCGCCACCTGCTGGTCCCAGTTATGGGATATTATACTTAGCATGACTCCGCCAGTGTGAAAGAAGGCACACAGATAGGCCTACACACATACATAAGGTGGAGGGAGTGGGGATCCTAATTTTAAATTGTACTTCCTTCTGGGTTGTTTCCTCTTATAATAAAGAATGCGTGTGCGCACACACCAGAGACAGAGAGGCACTCTCAACAACGTCTTGTCGAAACACAATGCCCTTTCCCCAGCCCTCCGGCTCCTGAGGCTCCTCGTGCACACACACATGCCTGCTGTGTTTACAGGTCAACCCAGGGATCTGCACCCATGGTCAGCCATGTGGCTTCCAGCACTGTAGTCCAATACTCTATAAACCGTATGTCTGGCTGAGCCCATTATTTAAATTTTTTAAAAGATCACGTATTAAAAACACTTTTTAAAATAAGCTACTAGACACCAGAAATATGACTAGTCAAAATTGAGATGTGCTGTAAGTATGAAATACACAGCAGTTTCAAAGACGTGCTATTAAAAAAATGCCAACCATCTCATGAATGCTTAATATTGATCGTACACTGAAATACTCCTTGAGATAACAAAATCAGTAAAACATATTAAAAGTAATTTTGCCTATTTCTTTTTGCCACCTTATTTTGGGTAACAGAACATCTTCATATACAGATAGTTGACATATTTCTGTAGACTAGCAATGTGCTATAGGGTATTACCTCAAGTAACTGTAGAAAGCAATTCCATAACCATTACTCTAGTTCATATCCCCAACAAGGTCAAAAGAATTAATAGAATATACCAAAAGACCGATCTTAGCAGAACAGATCATACGTGACTGAGAAGAATCTACACGAAGGAGAATTTTAAAATAACAGATTTGGGAGGAGAAAATTAAAAAAGTCCATTTTTATAGGAGGACACCTCCAAGGAACAGCTGGTGAAAAAAAAAATGGAATGAGAACATTTGGTCATCATTAGTGAATACTGTTTAGAACTCATGGTTACTTTGCTCTTATCTATGTAGAAGAAAATCTAAAAGGTTTCAACCTACACAGCCCTTACTTGGCAAGACCTTCTAAAACTGCTGGTAGGAGGGGCGACCTCTGGGCCTTCTTCAATATTCTGAAGTAGGTTACAAACACAATATTCAGAGTCTCTGTGTGCTAGGAGAGAAAAAAGACAAAATGACTTTAGGATAACCGAGTGTATGTCTTCTGAGTTAGCTCAATTATGACTTTATCTTTCTAAACTTTTTTGCCAGACGGCAACGTGTGCTCACCGAGGGAGGGGGAGAGAAAGAGAGAGTGCAGGCAAGAAAGCACCTCCCACAGGAAATGGTCTCACTGCATCCCTTCTCCTCCATTCCTCCCTCCTTTCGAGATTTTGGACATATGTATGTGGACCCAGTGTGTTTTAACGCTGCTGGGTTTGGGGCTCAAACTGCACAGTCAGACACACGGAATCACGTGTCAGACACCTTAACCACCATGCCACGGGGCAGCTCACAGCTATGACTTTCAAAGCTCAACCTTTTCTCCTCTCACTCCTGCCCACAGTTCAATCTTTGAAACTTTAACAAAATAGAATGAAGATTTCATAAAAGCACACCACAGCATCTTGCACATGACAAAAATCACGTATCTAAGTCTCATGAAATAAGCCAAAATTAGGTAACTACAAGTTGAAACAATACATTTCTAGCTAAAATCACTTAACATGACATCCTACAACCATAACAGGATGGGAAACTGCCCACCAGCTTCAGTTTTTTCTCAGTACTCTCTGAAGCCTCTGCTTCCCGAAGCTCTCGCTCCAGTTTCTCTTCTGCCTTCTTCCACTGAAAACAGAATGGGAAAAAACAACATGTAAGTATACGACACTGAGTGAAAAAAGCAGACAGGCAAACTATACACATATTAGAACACACACACAGTACCACACATTGTCTATGAATGAAAACACATGCAAAAGTAGAAAACCATGGGTCAGAAGTATATACGAGTCAAATGCATGACGGTTACTGCCTCTAGGAGAAAGGGAGGCAGATGAAATTGGAGAGGAAACCAAAAAGCATTCCTACTCTCTAATAGCTTCCTTCTTCAAAAAATGAAATAATTAAAAAATTAAAAAGTAAATTTATCATTCTAATTTTTCAAAAAAGAAAGAAAACATACTAAGTCAAATAGCACTTTCTAGTGGTAAGTCACAAGAACCAGTCACCAACAACACTTCATCACATTTCTATACAATGTACTAAACAGGTGCTAGTCAGAAATTCAGTAAAATGTCCACTCTTGCACTTCCTAATGCTGTTAAAGCAACAAACAATAGATGTCAAACTGCTGGAGGCACAGGGGACTGACCGAGGAACAGCTTCCCTCCCTCGTGAAGAGCTGTTTAAAGGCTGCCATGTTCTTACTGAGTTTTTGTTTCTCCTCACAGGTATGTATTAGGTCATCAGAAAGTCATGAAGTATTTTTCTATACAAAAATGTGTCATGACTTTTCCAACAACCCAATACATGCCGTTCCTGACAGACATCTGACTCATGTTAACATAGTACAATAGTTTAAGTAAACTACTTATCTTTGATTATGATACTTCTGTCATATTTTCAAAATGTATTAGACCCACTCAGAGACAGATCTGCTCAGAATCTACCTTTTCGGTTTTTATTTTTACAAGTAACCTGATAACCTTAATAAACTGTTTAGAAATATTTTGAGAAATGACAATAATAATAATAATGGTAATGATGCTAACAACCTAACAGCTTTACACGCACCATCACATTCAAACTGTATAATCACCCAGGTACGTACTGTTATTAGCTCCATATCTCAAAAAAAAAAACAAAAAAAAAAAACCCATTGTTTAAAATAAGAAAGAATATTTCAAAGCCTCATAAACAAAGAGCTGGGATTTCAATCCAAGTTTAAAATACAAACTGATAAAGAAGCATAATTCAGTTAACAAACTTCTTGCCAGCTCACTTGGGTGCACCTTTCTGTTGAGGAAGGAATCTGTGTATCACATGTTTCTAAACTGATTTAAAAACCAAAGTATAAAAACCAGCATGACAAAATATCTTCTCATTTCACCTGTCAGTTCAATTTGCTGGAAGAAAACATTTCTTTGCTGTGGGGACAATTACATTCTTTAAATATTGTATTTTTATATTTATGACTTAACTGTGAGTTTTACCTATGCCTATACTATGATTTTAATTTCAGATCAAGTAAAACAAACAGAATACTTAAATACGAAGAAAAAGGAAGTAAGTCAAACCTTTCTCTGCATTCTTGATAAAGTTTTCCTCTTTTCCTTGAAGGTCATGAACTTTTTCGGTTTATTAATATCCTCTGTATCTTTTTTCA